GTGTGTGTGTGTGTGTGTGTGTGTGTGTGTGTGTGTGTGTGTGAGAGAGAGAGAGAGAGAGAGAGAGAGAGAGAGAGAGAGAGAGTTTATGAGAGTTGAGATTTTGTGACATTAGGCGATTGCCTGGACTCAGACATTGTATCTAGACAGAGACATTGTGGGGGATTAATTTCGGAGACGACAGCGACACTGTTTGTTGACGACATCTCCATCTCCTCCTCGGCTTGGTCTATTTTCCCTGCTCTTCGTCTGTGTATGGTTTGTGACATGGTGCCCTTCTTCTATGTGTATGCCACTGTATGGCGCCATGGCCCCTCACCCACATTGATCAGGAGTGTGTTGTATGCTTGTCAGAGTCAAGTCGGTGTCAGATCTGAGTGTATCAGTTTTCTGCTGCATTGTGTTTGCTTATTCTCCTTTGGTCGGTTACTGGGTTCTGCGCCACGCCCATGTGATTGTCTCCGGGCATGTGACAAAAAAACACAAAGTTTTGAGGACCAGCGGACAATGGTGATGAATCGCAGGAGGCCAAATAAATCATGGTGGGGCATTTTCCTGCACTGACAAGAGATGCCCGGCACAGACTACTCACTCGGTTGTGTTGTAGTGCTGGGGCCTCTCGGTTTCTGTCCATGTTCCTTTGAATTTCTTGTTTGTATATGTCTGTACGTTCTTCAAGCATCGAGCGAGTCTTGTGTGATGCTCCCGGAGGGGACTGCCTGGAACCATGAAAGGGCATGGGAGAGTTTCCCTTTTGTTTGCTCTGGCGATCATTTTTGTTTTTCCAGATGGGCAACCATTGGATTGTTTTGAGTCCCATCACTTTTGCTGTGGGGCACCCATTGTGAACTGTTTGGGGAACATTTTCCGTCCCCCAGTCGAAGGGCTCAAGGAGAATGTCACCACGTCGACAGTGAGTGAGAGAAGTCAGCAAGAGAGAGAGAGAGAGAGTCTTGTGTTGAGGTGATGATCATGCTTATCTTCGTGTTGACAAAATCCCAGGCCGCCCTAAGTGAAGGTGGGCCTGGAGAATTCATGCCGGCCCCAAGTGAAGGCTGGTGACGGGGCCATTGGGTTCGGTGGCAGGCGCCAGCCCCCGTAACTAACCGGTAGGCTCAGCCTGCGAGCTAGTTACTGAGGCTGGGACCTAGGCACAGTGTCAGTAGGCTGCATGCACGGCCTACGGGGTCTGGACGAGGCCTCCTCTCCAGCATAAAAGTCTGGAGGAGGGCAGGCAGTGCACAAAACTCTGTTGTTCGTTGCCACTCTGCTTCCCTACTCTACCCCTTCCCCCTCCCCCGCCCGTCACTTCCTATAGAACTCCACCTTCCACCCCTTTCCTTCCTCCTACCCCTGGTGTACCACTAGCAAATGCATAGCATGTGAAGAAAAATCAGCAGGAGTATACTTCCCCCTCTACTCTGCCTCCTTTCATAATGTGCAAGTGTGCCATCAAGCCACACGTGGATGTGCGCAGCTGGCAATCAACCGCGATCAACGTAGCCAGGCTTGTACGTGAGATGCACAGTGAAAGGGGGGCTGCAAGAACAAATAAAAGGGGTACCCCAAAGAAAGCTGAAGCACAGATAGTCGAAAAGAGAGATATCGGATCTCTTGTGGTTCATAGTGTTTGCTGTAGCGGTGAAACTGTTTCAATGTTCGATTGGCTCATCTCAAGTGTGTTTCATTGCGTGCAATAGAGGTGAGGCTGTGTGGATTTTGGACTTATCTGGGTGGAACAGGGGCTGTTGTGGTGAAAATCTAAAACACAGAGAGAGAGGGAGGAAGAGAGAAAATCGTCTGCGTTGATGATGACGAGTGTGCTGAGATGATGTGCTACTACAATGTTGGATTCATGATGTTGATCATGGTGATCACACTCGTGTTTCGTATGGCAGAGAGAGAGAGAGAGAGAGAGAGAGACAGAGAGACAGAGAGACAGAGAGACAGACACACAGAGAGAGAGAGAGAGAGAGAGAGAGAGAGAGAGAGAGAGAGAGAGAGAGAGAGAGAGAGAGA